GCAGGGAAACAATTAATATCACCATTACTTTTACCATTTACCAATAAACATTACCGATATTTTTACTTTCCATTTCCAAACCATAGTCAAAAAAATGCTATCATTAATTCATTTATCTTTTACGTTCAATATTAAATCTCCTGGCAAGGGATGGGCGCCAGCTCTACTTTGCCCAAATCACGCTACGAATGAATGGATACCTACCGAGGCATGTGGAGGGATCTGTTCAGGTGTCCAGCTGCGCAGAAACACTACGACTACACCCGACCATAGGACTGATTATGATGATGATGATGTCTAGAGAGACTAAACTTTTAGTAATTGGCAAGAATTTCTTCTCTTTTGACCTGATTTCGCTATACGATTATGTGTATATTATTTGTATACTGGAAAATATAGTGGCCGATCGATTTGATCAGTGTACGGCGTCTATAGATTATCTTGATTAACGCATGCGCAGACGCCCCACACACATTCGTATGATCACAAACATGTATGCAGCGACGAAGTTATAATAGATTATCAATTTTCTTACGTGCATTGTATAGAGAGAGAAAGAGAAGAAAGACCTGTTATCGTGCAAGCAGAAAAATGCAATAACATTCAATCTCAATCAAATGCACTTTCATTGCATATGCGTGAATGTGAACACACGCACGCGCATACGAACATTAGAACAATTTAAAACAAAACAAATAACAAAATACATCTGCAAAGTGGCTAGAGAAACAAACGCATTCAACTACATAAAAAAACGTAACATTTGGCCACTTACGCGGGAATAATGATATTTAAAAGAAAATGATGTTTCTGTTGGTCAGCAGCCTTATATTTCGATCTAATGATATTCATTTTTAATGTTTTATTATTATTATTATTATTATCTATAACATAATGGGTAGTCGCGTGCTAAAGTTTATACAACTCTTTCACTCTATCTCGCTCTCTTACACACTCTCACTTTCTCACACACATATTCACACACACTCTCTCTCTCTCACACACACACACACACACGCATGCACACACTCTCACACTCGCTCTTTCTTTTACTCTCTCACACGCACACACACACACAGAGACAGAGTCTCACTCACTCACTCACTCACTCACTCACTCACTCACTCACACTTTCTCTTTCTTACTCTCGATCCCTGCTTATTCAAGCAGTTGGCTTTTCTTTAGATGCATAAATTTGAAAGCGTTTTCTCTTTATCTTTATTGTGAAGTAAGAACGCAGTTATAAATGTTTCTTTTTCCATCTTCTTCCTGAGTCTCTCTCTCCACATATAGTCATTATATATATATATATATATATATATATATATATATATATATGGAATAGCTTACATAGGAAAATGTATGTCGCATTGACGTAGTTTGTATATAAATATGCCATGCATATATTTTCCCGAGTCCATATGTGCAAGTCTGTATGTTGCAGTCGAAGTCTCTTCAATAGACAGATCTATGTAGGGAAATTTTATTTTTATTTTATTTTTTTTATTAAACTTTGCCTAGTCTGGCACAAGGCCTCAAATTTCTTATAACATTAGTATCTCTATGTGTTACGTATCTAATATCTGATAAGATATATAATTATTTATGCTCTACACACATACAAATGCATGTATACATATATAATTTCACCATAATTTGCAAGCCTCAAACAAAGACAGTTTTCAATTTTTATTATAGGTTTAGTTTTCATGGATAATAGACTTTTCATAACCAATATCATTTAAGCATCAAAATGTTACGAGAACAAATCCCTGTAAACGGGACAGTTCCGAGACAAAAAAGGGACGTATGGCACGCCCGAGCGTGCGTGTGTGTGTCTGTTTAAAATATGCTATATTTATGGGGAATAGGGACTCAGTGTCGGAGATGGAGCGTTTGTCTGTGGACATACATTAGTCACACTATATGAAGCGTTAAAATGACAATATCAATTACTCGATCTATCTATATATCGAAAGGAAGGGAGAGAGAGAGAAAGAGATATAGATATATATTGTAGACCGGGAAATCAACGCTACGTTGATAGATAGATAGATAGATAGATAGATAGATAGATAGATAGATAGATAGATAGATAGATCAGCAAGCCATGCCCACATGGTCAAATGATGGCATGAAGCTAACAAGTAGTGCTGATTTCTATGTCCACACTATATCTACAAAAGTATGCAATATCAAAGATACAGTGTACTGTACTTGCGTCAATTTAGTATACTTTATATTATATATATATATATATATATATATATATATATATATATATATATATATATTGTGTATATTTAGGCAGCAATTTTTCATTAATGCATGTTTCGTTAAGTAATATAGAGAAGTTTTGTCTATTTATTTTAAGTTCCTTTCATATTGTCCGATAAGCTTAATCACATTATCGTTGAAAGACGAAAGGAAAACACCCTATTGACACATGATTAAATCCAATCTAAGCTTTAGGCTTACATAAGCCATCATCAAAGATGACAATTTCAATAAATCAAAGAACACGCGGACGAAACAACAATGATAGAGCGCCCTTGCTGCATGAAAAATTTCAAAGTAACGACAAACTCGTATATACTAGACGCAGAAGCGAAAATCGCGTCGCAGCTCGTGACGTCACACATGACCACGCGAGAGTGAAAAACGAGAAGTATTAAGTATAGGAAGCCGTTGGTATAAATCATTGGCTTCTGTTATAAATTATACGCATTTAAGGATATTTGTGGAGATTTCATAGTTTATTTTGTTCAGGTTAGTTTTCAACTGTTTTATGTATAAAGCTTCAAGAATTTTTAATTTTTGTTTATTGTTTTCATGTTTAAGTATAGCTGTGTTGTCAATAAGGATTTTCGAGAAGTGAGTATGTGGGCAGGCATGTTGTTTTAAATGTCTAAAAATGTTATCATTTAAATATAGAGTCAAAAGCCATGAAAGCGAGTTTGTAGTGTGACCAACATAAATATTATTTAATCCATTGGAGATACAAAATTCATACAAAAACTATCACTTCAACTTTGAACTCTAGCGTTGCGACTTGCACCTTCCAATATTATATAAACATTAATAAATAACGCATTCTTAAAAAACATCTTTCGGTCGAATATATATCAGTCAGTTATGTGCCATGCGTGATAAAGGCGATCATATATCTTTCGATATATAACTGACGGGCAGATTTTTTCTCGCAGTAGGTTGCCATTTCTTTCTGTGATAGACCAGTTGCCATCCAAGGTTATAGAACCTTGTTTGTCCTGCTATTTACCCATTGCTGGGGGATGGGGAGAAGAAGAGGATTCATACCTTTCCCAAGTTAACGTAATGAATTCGATTGGAAATCGAACTCGGCTTTCCGATTCCTCAATCCGAGTCGCTATCCATTACTCCACCGTGTATATAAATATATATATATATGCAATTTTTATATATATCATTTATATATTATACATATGCGGTACTTATTTGAAAGCGTTCCATATCAGTGAGAGTTTGTGAACCTGAGTTTCACACCCTTGCGATCGTCAGACAAACCTGACGACCGTAAGGGCGAGAAACCTATGATCGCAAACCAACATCAATGCACATATATATATATATATATATATATATATATATATATATAGAGAGAGAGAGAGAGAGAGAGAGAGCAGTCCTTCTTTTGTACATGTTTCATGGAATGTGACCGGACAAATTTTTCCTTCGTTTTTCTAGTGTATAATTTTTCTTTATGCGAACTAAAATACTTGAACGAGTGCAAGAATAATTGAATACAAAGCTTAATCGCAGTATTTTGTCAGTCGTCTTTAATGTAGCTGATATATATATATATATATATATATATATATATATATATATATATATATATATATATATATATATATATATATATTATGAAATAGACAAAAGTCCGACAATAATTTTAAGACATTTTTATGTTTAACATTCTTTTTATAGATACAAATATTCAAATAAATGCTCTGTTTATAATAAACAGTATTAAACAATATTTACCAGCCAGAATGTCCAAGAAATTTTCATAGGATACAGGTTCGAATCCTGTCGGAGGACGAATATTTTCTATGAAAATTTCTTGGACATTCTGGCCGGTAAATGTTGTTTAATACTGTTTATTATAAACAGAGCATTTACTTGAATATTTGTATCTATAAAAAGAATGTTAAACATAAAAAATGTCTTTTAATATATATATATATATATATATATATATATATATATTGATAATGTAGTAGTCAATACATACATACATATATATATATATATATATATATATATATATATATATATATATTTTCCAAGAGGATAGAATCCAGGTAGAGCTCAATGTCAGGGACAGAACAAGAATATAATATAAAAGGCTCAAACTAATATTCTATGGTTATAATTTATTACATTGGAATCGTCATCCCGATCCAATTCATCAGACCTACAAATTCAAAAAGAAATCAGAAAAAACAAAAACACATACATACACACACACACACACACACACATATATATATATATATATATATATATATATATATATATGCTACATTATTGTCTTCTTTTGCAATATATTGAATGAAAAATTTCCATGCCTAAAAATACATACAAATAAATACGGATGTTTTGTCATGAAAGCATTATTTCCCTTCCTAATACCTTTTACCTTCTTTTACAACCTGCTTTTTCCATATCTGACTTGTGTCCCAATATCTGGACACAAAGAAAAAATTAAAATACGATTGAATACACATCATATGAGTGCATGTAACTATCTACAGAGTTGTTTGATGGGCGCAACTGCTTTTTAGTTCAAATTACAATTTCCCCAAATTCATCACGTGGACTAACTTCTACGTCATCTTAATCATTTTACTGAAATCATACTCTCTTTCTCTCTCCACTATTATCTTCACATTTTTTCAATATATGTATATCTATTTTGGTTAGTTAAAGTTTTGTCCATGGTGGATTTTGTTCTAATGGGAGTAAATTTCTTCGTTCAACAAAATGCGTTCTCGCCAAGCTGTCGTAAGAATAATACTATTCTATAAAGATCGGAACTCTCAACAAAATTTCTGCTTCTTGAAGGTTAAAAATGCACAGGTTATTCTTATAAGAAGATTGCCCAGGAATAGCACGAAGTCATAATATAACATATTTTAATTGTCTCGTATGTTTTCTATCATTTTTCATGGGTAACTATGCTTCTAATTGTTAAATTGTCTTTCCAGATGAATTGATATTTCTGAAACAATATTAGTCTCTTTTTTTTTTCCTTCTCGTCTCGTTTTTACTTTTCTTTCCTCTTTACTTGCCTTCTTTCTTCCTTTCTGTCTCTTTTTCAACACATGCATGATTTCACTCTCCTTTTTGTCTGGTCTTTATTTCTTCCCATTTCTCATTCATTTCTTTTTCTATCCTTTGCTTTATTTCTTCACCCCGTCTTTATCTAACAATAATTTTCAAGCACCCGCTAATCTTTTTCTTTTTTTCTTACTTTCTTTTTTCCCACATTTTTCTCACTTTAGAATTGACTCTCTTCATTCTCTCCTCCCTTCTATCTCTCTCCCTCTCTTTCTCACTGAATTCAATCTTTCTCTCCTTTTCTATCTCGTACTTTCACTTTCGCCTTTCTCTATTTTACTTCTTACTATTTTCATCCACTGTTCTTAA